TTTTTTTTTTGCTTTTTCCCCCCTCCAAGAAAATTCTGCACACAATTTTAGTCAAGCAATCGAGCAACTCAAGTTTGTCATAAACGTTTAATAAAGTACACCATAGCTTTCTCTTCTAAGTGTTATCTTTGAGTTGCTTACCACCAAATAAAACTTTTTGTTTTCAGTTCATTAGCTTTATATTTTCAGGAGAGTAGATCATATTAATACCAGACCATTGGAAGACTAGTAATGCAGCCTGCGAATCTGTCAGGCATTCCATGTGGAAACGAGAGACTGGTGCGAGTTTTTCGCATGCAACAAGATCGTTAATCAACAATTTTAGATGAAAGTGACAATTTTAGATCGGAAAGAAACACAGACTTGTTTTATATTTTATTAGGCTATCGACCAAATCATCAACTTTAAGTCCTCTTTGATGTGGAGCTTGTTGCACAACCCATCCACTCACTCATCCGCGTGATCGCTAACACCTGACAGATCAATCTTTATCCTGCTTCCGTGGTCGGTTCGTGCTTGATTTACAAACTGGAAAAGTTATCAGATCAGCAATTTCAAGCGAAGATTTTGCTGTCTTCCCCCTCTGGAAATTCAGAGCTGAAACCCCCCATGCGTTTGAAATTCCAAATTGCATTACCCCCCATGCCTTCAGAATTCCAGTCCAAGAGCCCCCACCCCCTCCCTCGGAATTCCAAGTTACCACCCATGGTATAGTATGGATATTTTCTGGAATTACCCAATTAAATCACACTGGGGGCATTCCTGAACACAGTGTTTTGAGTGTGCTTGGTTGTGATGTCTGAAGACACAGTTCATCAAATGAGGGACTTCTAATCAATATACAGTCACAAGGCAGTTAAAATGAAACCTGATGCATTCTCACCAGCTACCTACTTATAAATCACCATGTGAAGCAATTTTGGTTTTTGAGGGGTTTTTGTTTGATTCCTAAGTGACATTTGATATTAAGTAACCATCTTTTTTTACTTTTATTCAACCATTCAAGTTTACTACAAGTTCTTTGAGGAAGTACAAAAAAATACTATATTTAAGTGTCAATTGTGTTTGGCAATGTTGTGCTAATTGGCAAGACTGTAAATAAATAACCAAATATTACAAATGAACATAAACTATTTAGAATCCCTACTGGTGGGAGGCTGACCAGATGGCTATTTACACAACGCAGTCGAGGCGTTGAACTCAAGACTACTGAGAACAAATCTAGATAGCGGTAGGGTGAAGGATTTGAACCAGGGACCTCCAGATTTCAAATCCAGCACCCTAAACCACTCGGCCACACGGCCTCCCTTAATTTAGTGATGTAGTAAACTGTTATGTATTTGTTCCCTGGGCATTGCCTTTGAAAATTATTAGATGAAGGCATTTGTGTAATGCAGTCCTGTAGTACAACTAGTACATACAATGTGGAAATTCTTCAGTTTTGAATTGACAGTCAGTTATGTCCGCATAAACTGTTGCCAGTTAATGAAATGTTTTGATCCTGTTCAGTCTTGCAGAAAAATTTGAGCATTTCAGTGCAGTGATTAGTACAGACGACTACACAATTTGCATCTGTATCTGCTCTGCACCACATTAATTGTAAAAAGTTATAGCTGAATGTTTCACTTAAATATTGTGTGCTCAGGTATTACAGCCTGTTCATTTACTTATCCCTTGGATGTTGTTCGCTCACGCCTGGCATTTCAAGTGGCTGATGAAAAAATATACTGTGGTGTATGTCATGTAATTCGCCAGATAGTCACCACAGAGGGAGGATTTACAGCTCTTTACCGAGGATATGGAGCTACAGCACTTGCAATGATTCCAGCTGTTGGTGAGTGTTTGAAAGGCCTTGTCAGTGTAGTGTTTGTAACTGTTACTCTCCAGTTATTGGTTCCTTTTCTTTTCTGTGTAAAGCAAACAAGTTTCATGAATTACACACTCCCCCCTCCCCCTCACATTGCTTCATTATAACACCCATTAGTTGCAATATATTTGAATTCATATTCATATACATATTCTCCTCTACTTGCAATCTATTCCACTAATTACATAATTTATATCTAATATATATAAATGAAGGAACCATTGATTTTTTTTCATATATTAATGCATAAGCATTATTGCTTTTTTTCCATAATTAATTTAAGGCAGCTAGTAACAGTTTCCAGTCTGTTAAAAACACCCTTAATTTCAGCTCTAAGTGCTTATCATGTGAAAACAACTTGGTGAAACCATTTTGCTAAGCTTAAAAAAATTTGGTACAGTGTAGGTAGGGTTCAAATCCACCTTAAATTTTCGAAATTTTAAATGGCTCTGAATATTATGTAATGGGAGGTGCTGGAAACTGTTACCAGCCACATTAAAGGACCCTAGTCAGCCTCCGCCACTTTCGACGCCATCGAAATTATTGATATTGCATGGTCTGGCGAAATCTTATTGCTTTACTGTAAGTTGTGTTCCTGAAAGTATGTTTAAATTTATCTTTTCGTAGTTTCACAGTGATTTCCTTCATTTCGACATGCTCCAAATAAAACAATATATACATTTAGCTAAGCCTAAAAGTGGAGCTCCTGGGCCGAGTTGCTCAAAGCTTGATTCAGTTAACCCAGGATAAGTGAGAAATTTGGTTTGAGTTTTGTAACTTTACGGTGAGGTTTTCTGTTTATATTGTTTGGCCTTCTCTTTTGAGTTTGAAGAACCTCAAACTACACAAAATATAAGCAGTGAAAAACATTTTTATACAAGAAAACTTTATTCTTTGATTACCCTTTGATCCTGGGTTGGCTTCCGAAAAACCCAGCCCTGGTTGATTACAACAAATTAATGTTGCTTGAGCCTGCGAGCCAATCAAAACCCAGTACTTGGTCAGCGGTCAACTTAAAAAAAAAAATATGTGACCTCAATGAACTCTAAACTTGAGCCTGCAATATGGTCATGTGATACTGGTTAGCAGATACCTTGTTTTGGCAGTTGGAATTTATAAACCTCCTGTGAGCTTGGGAGGATCGACAAGCAAACGTTTAAACGTCTCGAGGGGTTAACTGAGACTCTCCGCATTCATTCTCTACAAACATAGTCACACCTTCAGTCTTTCAGATAGCTACTAGCATTGACCCAGTTACACATGTGCTGACTGCAACAGAATATCAATCAAAACTCCCTCTCTCCCTCTCTGTTCGTTACCAAGACTTTGTCTACTGTTTTGCATTTCGTGGTAAAAGATTTGATTTGAGGAGATATAGCTACGGTAATAATTTTGTTTATCAGTGAAGTTGCGTGCTCCCATCACACAACATGGTTAGTGACTGTTATGAATCAGAGGGACCCCATTTTGAGAAGGGTACGACTTGTTATGTAAAATTTACGTTTTACAAGTTGCATATTCTGATTTCCATGAAAACTATTGTTTTTTTCCCCCTGTTTATTGTTTCATTGAGGTATGAGATACCACGCCCAATTCTTTTCTCTT